GGTCAATTTCTTAATCTTGTTATCTCCTTGTTTCCCGAGGCAACGGTGACGCTCGCCGGTGGAAAAGCGGTGAATCTCCGACGAACGCAGGAAAGGTAAAGCAGCCATCGCTTTGCCTAGCAGACGTAAAGCAGACGACGTTAACTGCGCCAACCCGCCGACGCCGTTAAAGAATAAGGGGTCTCGCCGCACACGAAAGGAGGGAAAAAGTATTTGGGAGGGAACTTGCGGCCACTAACACGCTCACTCTCGGTTCTTAGCAAACAAACCTCGACGCCTCGGGACACCTCGCCAGTGAGTCCTCTGACTTCCCTCCTTGATGCACGTCTGCTAGTTAGACAAAAACAGCGTACCGCTCGAGTTATTTCGTCTGCCCTCACTGAAAGGCGAAGTCGAGCTGGCTCGTAAAGACCTGCACTTCCGAAAGTCGCAGGAAAGGTAAGACAGACGCAGACGACGTTGCGAGCAGACGACGTTGCAAAGGAGCAGACGACGCTCAGATAGGGGGTGGCGATCAGCCAATCAGGGCTCGGCGTTCTGACTTCACCGCTACTTGCTTTCTCATGCGCAGAAGACGAAAATGAGCCCACTTGCGAGGCGTATAGGTTTGGAAAATTTATTTTTATGCAAAGGGCTATTTTATTTTATGAACAGTTGCAATTAAAAGAAATCAATTCCAATCACTGAAGAAGTTAATAAATTAATGTTTTTTGTACTGTATTACCTGAAATAACCAATTAGCGGTGCCCTTAATTCAACCCTTAGCCATCGCCATCCAGTCCGAAGCCAACTGGCCAGCCTGTCGCGCATGCGCACATGAGTCGAACCTCAATACAAGGTTCGTCGAAATTTCCACAAAAAGTTCGAAATAGTCGAACCTGGTCGAACTCGAACCTCGGCCGGTTCGCGACACCCCTACTTATTATTCTTATTATTATGGATATGAACGGTGCATAGTTGACAGTAAATCGATATAAAACTTCTATATCTCTAAAAAACGGTCAAGATTACATAAAACCGGCTAAAAATCCGACCGCCCGCAAAACCATAATTTATCCCGCTAAACAGAACCAAAAGCCGCTAAGTTTAGAGGGAAAACCGCTAAATTGGCAACACTGCCTAAAAAAGCAAAACTGCAAATGCCGAAATTTTGAAAGAAAATGCGCAACAACGCGGTGTTTGAAATTATATTGGAAGCTCTTGTTAACCTTTGAAAACAGGTAAGGACGGTCAGTATAGGATATCGAGGCTTCTTTCTTCCACGAACATGCACGTTTTATAGCCGTTCGTGCTGGTGTTTCCAGAGTCCACACGTTGCCTTTGTGTGACAGTGTCCTTCTACGGCGAGCCACCCATCACATTCAGAGCTGCGCACTGTCACTGTTGTTACTCGTGAGTCGTGAGCTATATAAGAACTAGTCTTCTGTAAGGTAATGAATTATGTGAGTGGGTAAACGTTATACATGAAAACCGCTCAAACGACGAAGACGGAGTGAAGAAAACAAACACGACAGGACGAAGCTGTTCTCGCAACTAATGTTTTATTAATTAAAACAACAGAAAGGAAACAGCTTAGCCGACGCTGATTACATCAACAAACACCTACTTATCTATCAGGCACCACACAATCATAGGAGCTGAAACGGTTCACCGCACCGCTATTCATATTAACGCGCAAAAAAAAAAAAAAAAAAAAACTTTTTATTTTACAGTGCTATTGACGGCGCACTGTCAAGTTGTAAATTTTTTTTTTTTTTTTTTTTTACGGCTGTCCGATGTACTGATTTTATACTTGCGACGTCAATAATGTACAGATCGGGTGACTACTAATTTCTGAGGAATTAGTAAATATGCCCAATAAACTTCAAGAACATTACAAAAGGGAAGACACTAATTTTTATGAAGTGACGAATTCTAATTGTGTTAGATTGCCACGTGTGACGCACAGTCGGCTAAGCTAAGAAAAAAAAATCGGTGAGCTTTTCTCCACATTCGCTCAAAGGCCGACGAGCTTTTCTCCGCATCTGCCGATTTTGCGGTAAGCTTTTCTCCAGTGAGTTGTTCTTGGATGAGCTTTTCTCTGCATGTCGAGCTTTTCTCCGCCGCTCGTAGGCGGCCATACTTAGTCAAGCGTACTTGGCCCGCGGGCGACTGGCGGAGGTGAAGTACTATAGTCCAGCGTGCTTAGTCCGCAGCCAATCGTCGTCGGCGAGTCATTCTTATTCCGGGGATAGTTAGTCCGTATGTGACTGTAGGCGGCTAGTCTTACTTAAAGCCACGTGAACTTATGAAAACACGGGGTTGATCAACATGTACCGTGGGGTAGCGCAGCGGATACATTGCCGCGCGCGCAGCTGGCCAAGTAGGCAGCGCGCGCGTGGCCTAACGGTTATCGCGCTTGCCTCCCACGCAGAAGGCCAGGGTTCGATTCCTGGCCGCGACTACACATTTTTGTTGACAGTGTAATTTGATGTTCTAGTGAATTCGAGAACCGTCTTGCTGATTCGAGGTTAGAATGTTCTACACACCGAACCTTCTACGCCGAACGATCCGGAAACCCTCAAGGGTACATAGGGATTCCGCAAGGCGAGCGGAGTCAGTTTCGCCCCAGCGTTCGACTCTGCTGTTACGCCGACTTCGACGCCCGCGGCGCTCTCTTATTATCTTCTGTACCCTTTCATTTTTTTTGGCACAAGTTCGCCACATTAAATGTCTATTTATTCCTGTTTATTTTTTGTTTATTGGTCACCACCCGTGACAATATGACGTCACAAATGGAAATAGCAGTCAACAGATAAAGGGCGCGATAAACCTCCTCGCCTCGCTATTACTTCAGTTGCCAGAACTGGTTCTTCGCACTTTGGGAGCATTAAGAATTTAAGGCCATACACGCATCCCCGAAAGAAGCAGAACCCACAAACTCATAATTAAAGCGGGCTGGTGACACACTCAACTCCACGAATAAATGTATACCTGTCTTGATCATTCCGTTAGACCCGGAGAGCACAGGTGTGCTTCGTGTGGGCAGCTCCCCGTAAACAAGCATTTCAAATTATAAAGTAGGCATAATGAAGACACAGCAAATTCTGTGCTGCCAGGGTTTCTCAAAATAATTAAGGCAAGTAAATTTTTTTTGCACCTGTAAACAACGCAGATCAGCTCGACGAACGTAGTTTCGAGCATGTTCCCTTGGTTATGCGAAACTACTTGGAGCTGACGCATGCACGGCCTGGAATGCCTGATTAAACAACAGGTTACCCAACACCGTCTCTGCACCTGTTTCACTTATACCCTTCGCAGATGAGCACGGGTCGATGATGCGTCACTTGCAGGCTGAATTAAGGTTACACCAAGGTCTATACAGCAGCTACCCTTATGATTGTGCGTGGGGGGTTTAAATAAAATCTACTATACTTGAACAGGAAAAACCGGAGTGATGATTGCTGAAGACTTATTTACCTACACTGGCGGTTGAGATGCGTTTGCGAAGCGGTTGCGAATGTGGTTCACGAGCGACCCGTTTCAGACACACCGAGACACTGTTGGTGGTTTCTCGGCGATCACACGTGATCTTTAGAGACTTGCGTTCGGCAACCCTGTTTTACAATCCGAAATCCAGTTTAATTCACGATCCAAAGACAAAATTGAGCGATTTGGCACTGTGAAGATTTTTCTTCAGGCTGTTCGCACGTATTACGAGTTTCAGGCAGAGAAGAATAGAGACATGAACCCGCAAAACCCGCCTGTGATTTTCTCGACTTCGTACACAAGCAAAGCCTGAACAGGCATAGCGCCTGGCTGACTCAGAAGAGGATGCCCCCACGCTTCCTTTGAAGTGGACCCTTCCCGCATGAATAGCTGACATTCGTTTCGGGATAGAGGGCCAGTTGTCCCTCTGAATTGTTCGCTCCTATGATTTTCGGAGTTGTGAGCGGCGCTGGCCGACACTAGTGCGGGGAAATGTGTTCGGTGCTAGCCGGTCGTGGCTTCGTTAGTGGCGGACTCGCACGTCGATTGAGTCTACTGTTTGTTTGACATTAAGCTCAGATAAATGCCGTATGGATTACCTATGCATCGTCTGGTACGTACATTTTATTTCTTGAGTAGGTTCCCTTTATTCTTTTTGGTAGGAGTAAACATTACAGGTCAAGCGAGCGCAGGTACCTTGCCAGCTCCGCGGTAGTGTATTGACTACGCAATTGGGCTTACGTCGTCTCTATCGGCCTTCGTGGTGGTCATGCATGCACAGTGTCGAAAGCTATCAGTAGTTCACACGACTGATTAGTGGCTGCCATCTGGTTCCGATCTTTTAAGGCCAAAGACTAACAAGGCAGAGAACGACGTGATTTGGCACCCTGAATATTAAACTTGTAAACTCTTACCCGGACCAAATCACCTGAGCGAAGCCCGTTAAGAGTACGGGTCAATTCTGTTCTCGGCGGATTCAAGTGCGGACGTAATCACATTTCTTCGTTGATTTGTCTGCTTTAACGCTAGGACTACAGCCGCTTGGACGTCTCACCATCGACAGATGCCATCTTGTTTGGAAAGCCACGGACGTCACGTCAGCACCACGTTGCGATTGGTTGCCGCTTTGCGGTTCGGAGAAATCGGTCCCGAAGCGGTTGACAAAAACGCGCCCCAAGAGCTCGATCTCAGCCGCTTTGCGGTTGAGAACGTGCGGATCCGCTTTGCGGTTGCGGATCCGCTTCCAGTGTGATCGCGTCATAAGTGATGAGTTTTACATGTCCATGCCATTGTCTTGAAATGTGTCATTGTCACGGGCTGAGTCGATATCCTTCCACCGGTTGGAAACTGGGGGTGTCAAGTGATAGTTTACAGTTACAGCAATATAGCTTAGTGTCTGCTTAAATCCTGACTGAATACATATTAAGATGTGTGGCGTTATTTGTAACATAATTGCATTCTAAGTCAAGTAACTCACACTGAACTTGTAAAACGGTACTGGTACCTTGTATGGCGCTTTAATGTCCCCCAGGTCGGCTTACCACTTTATTCCACTCGTCATATGATATAATATGGCCAATCTTTTCCTTCCCATCTCCTTTCCCTTAGTGTAGCCTGCTCATGCGCTCAGGCTAACCCATCTGCAATTCAATCACCCTTTTATACTCTCTTGTCATAGAGTCGATGACATGGACAGGAGGGGATCACTGGATTCCTTTCAAAAGTGACTGACAGCATTTTTTACGCACTATTTTAATGAATGCCCTCTAGCCGGTGTCCTCAGCAGTGTTCGGTATTTCTGGCTGTTGACAACACACAGAGTATCGCCGTTCTGGTGGTTCTTGGTGTCGAACGCCAGGAGCAGGCTTTCTTCAGATCTGACCTCTCGAGACGGAGCCTGCTGTCGCCAGCTGACTGGTCCGAGCCTCCGGTTGGCCGGGTGGTCCACAGCAACATTCGGCCTAGCTGGCGAGCACGCGACGCGAGGCTGCCGACCTAGAAGACCCGCTGCTGGACACCGTGCTGACCGATGTGACGGAGCTCGAGCTGCTCAGCTTGGCCCTGGCGCGTCGGCGGCGCAGCAGTGCCCCGTACAGGTGGAATACCTTGCGATTGCACACAAAGGCGTAGAAGATAAAGAGCCCCTGCAGAGTGTTGCACACGATGAACAGGTAGGTGAAGGCGACCCGCGCCGCGTCCGAGCTGCGCAGGAAGACCGCAACGAAGCCGAACACCCAGGTGAGTCCCATTCCGGTGGCCATGCGCAGGTACGTGGTCGCCGCCGCCGGGTTGCGCTCGTTGTGGCAGCGCAGGCCGGGGCCCCACTTGTCCCTGCGAAAGGTGTGTCTGCTCAGACGACGCTGGGACCGAGGCGCCGACAGCCTCGGCAGATATTTCCACCTGCGCTGCTGGAGTGCACTGGTACCGAGACAGATAGGCGGGAGCTCGCTCTGAGCACGCGTTGTGCACAACGCACTTACTGCTTTTCATATACGCGCTAACAGCTGAATAACTCGTATCACGCCATTTATTTCATTCCCTGCGCTATATAAACTGCGTTTGTGCTTGAAGAAAGAAACTACATCTTTGACCACCCTAGTGAAGTAACAGATGGAACAGGTAGTATTTTCAGATAAAATAAAATATGTGCGTAGAGTTAGTTCTACCTGCATCAATTTATCCCGTTTTTCTGGCATTCTGCTCTACGCGAAGGAGCCCGTGACAATGCAGTTCTGACTCCAACTGATGTACATTTCAGGCCACACGCGCACGCAGTTCTCCTTACCTTTACTGGCAGAGCAATAGTATGTTTTGGGTGCAGTCTGAAACACCCGATAAAACCTGAAGGCCTACTTCTAAAGCGTAGTGCGAATTCTACATGCCAATGTTCTTCGGAAACACTCTTTCTGGAAATTGGCCACTGTTGAATGAACAATGGCGAGTTTTGACCAACTGTGTGGTCAGTGATGGTGTACGAAAGGCATGGCATCTCGACTACCGAGCATCCTGTGACCGCAGTCAATAAATTGCGGCATCGTGCGATAAGAAAGCCGAGGAAAAAGGCGCCTGATCATACTAGGTCATGCCCTGTGTTTCCTGGCAGTACCTAGAATTAACTCGATATAACATAATACAAACTGTACCTAGAATTAATTGCTATAACTAGGATTCCGTGTTTCCACAGTTCATTTCTCGTGAAATTCGGAGATTGTTTTTCGGAGTTTATTTTTCGCTAAGAATTCGGGGTTTATCGGAATTGATTTTTGTTAGATTCCCAATTCATTGAAATTCTAAGTTTATTTTACTGCGTTAAATTAAAAAATTCGAAAACAAAATAAGTAAGGTCCGGGTACCATAACCCGTTGTCCCAAAGGAACCTCGACGTGCTAAAAAGCAAACCGCTTTTTTTGTCAGTAGTTCTAAATTTCAAAGGAAACTGAAGTGGAATCTCCTCAGAACCACTAACCTTGTACTTTTTATAAAGATTAGTTGTGTAACTAATTTTGCTGTTTATTTTGTCGCTGTGACCTCGAAATTCTGAGTTTTTCGGATAAATCCTAATTAACACAAAAATCTACCAACAAGTGTTTTTCGGATTTTCTTTTTTTTTTTTTTTGGGGGGGGGGGGGGATTTATCCGAAAACACGCAACCCTAGATATAACGTAATACAAACAGAAGTGACACAACCGGTATTGTCACTTTTGCGTGCATTGGTAAAGCATGAATGTACGTGTTGGATACATTTTAGATTCCAAAATAAGTGAATGCGTACTTGTTAGTTTGCGATATGAGCATGCGGCAACACCAGGGTAGATAATAGAAACCAAGATTAGAGTTTGCGAATTGTTAAAATTCATCTCGAATCAAATTCAACTTTTTGGCTTCAATCGGCACTATTTCCTTCAAATTTGGAATCGAATATCGAATACCGGAACTTATATTCAGAACGTACACAAAATAAACTAAGCCATCTTAAAAGAAACGCCTATGCGCTTAGCTCTACAGATAGCTGTGCCTATGCGAATAGTTATGCAGACAGTAAAGCAAAGAATGAAGGAATGAGCAGAAGGGAATGCCAATTCTTGGGGAGCTTTAGAATGTGTACTAAAAAGATAAAAGACTAAAAGGCCACCTACTCATCATCGCTCAATGTATGGAGATAACAATGAAGAGGAAAAATTTCCTATGGTCTGTTTATTTCCACATGAAGGGAGCCTACGATAATGTGCACCAGAAAACACTCTGGGGCCTGCTGAAGGGTATAAGCCCAACCAAGTATGCACATGAAAATTTTGTTCAGTTTTTTGACAGGTGTACTCAGGCAGTACCAAGCAGAGCGTAACGCAGCAGATGGTCGACGGCCAAAGAGGATGCACCCCATCAGATTCAAAGCAATACGCGAGAATCTCGCAAAGACTGCGGAACGTCCTTTCCCAGTATGGCACACAGCTTCTCATTGACACTCTTTTGGGCTATCGCTTCTCTCACAGCATGTTAGTTATATTTAAAACGAAAGTGTATGTCAAATAAACTTTTTCTTTAGCAGTTCCATTCAACTCATCAATTGTGATCTTCATTCTTCTTTTGGGTAAATAGGGTGCCGCATTTGAATCGATTTCAAATGTTACCAGATTAAGAATCAATCAGTCAAAAAAACGGGAAGAAATTTAGCTTCGTTGTCTTGCGGTGAGAAAGTTTTATAGTACTAAACATGCACGAAAAGCTATGAGTATAAACTATGACGGCGCAGCTAATATTATAAAGTAATATAACGGTAGATAAAAAACTAACGGAAATACACATGTTCTGCTGAACATGTTAGCAGCAAGTGCTGAATTTTGGCGCGTGCTGCTTATAATGTGTCCTACTGCGAAAAAAACAGCATGTACTTACATGCGTGCTTTTTTGTTGCTGTGCTGTTTTGTCGCTTTCTGTTTTGTGACGCGCTCTTCTGTCGCTCTGTTGCTCTGTGCCGTGCTGTTGTGTCTCATACTTTTTTTTTGTCTCTGTGCTGTTTTGTCGCGTGCTGTTTTGCCGTGTTCTGTTCTGTCGCGTTCCCGACGGTTGTATCACCTTAGCCGGGCCATTAATTTTCACTGAAAGAAAGGGTCACTTTGACTGAAAAAAAGGGTCACCAAGAGAGTTGTGTCCCTGAGGGACACAACTCTCTTGGTCAAGCAGATCCGGTATATAGAATGGAGCTCTAACAGGCTTGGAAGGTTCATTCCTTCAAATAAACTCGGATTTAGCGTAACATGCGGCCCCGAACACCGTATTCCTACAAATCTCTAAGTGTCCCTTATGCCACGTCGCGTCATATGCTTTGTGCAAATGGAAAAATAAAGAAACACAGTGCTGACGATGCCTAAACGCTTCGCGAATACAGGCTTCCACATGAATAAGGTGGACAGCGGTGAAACGTCCTGCTCGGAAACCATACTAACATCAAAGACGTTCTCTGCCTCTAGAAAATGCACGAGGTGTCGATTGATGAGTCCCTCATAGGTCTTTCCCAAGCAGCTTGTGAGAGCAGTTGAGCTGTAGTTCGCTGGTAAAGAGGAATTGTTATTCGATTTTAGCAGAGGGATTATGTGTGCCCTTTTACAGCACTGAAGAAACAAAGAACCACCCACAAATAAAATTAAAGAGTGCCAAAATACTACTTAGGGGTTCACCTGACGAGTGCTTTAGCATTTCTTTGATCTTCTTTGGTCCAGGTGCGGAAAGCTTCTTTACGCCGACAGCTACTTTAAGCTCGCAACTTGTAAATGACATGTTGTATGCTGCATCGTGAGCCCCAGACAAAGAAACTGGCCTCAATCTCTGCCGCTGAACTATACCCCTTCACTCTAAAAAAAAGGGGGTGTGGAGGTTACACCCCTTGTCACATATACGACACCCCAAAATTTTAGTTGGACGTACAGCGCGCTGACGTCGAACTGACTGCCCCAACTTTTGCAAGAGGGTTGATGACGGGGCAATCTAACATATTAAACAGCTAAAGTACGTATTAAAGTCTACGGGGAAGGCACACACAGGTTTTGCAGTTGAGCCTAGAAAACCCCGGTAACTTTTTTTTGCAGTCAGTCACACTTACATTAACTGTTTTAATGAGTTGTACAACTCGGCTATCAAGCCGCTCGTGAAATTTGGTAGCGCCGCTACAACGTCAGTGCGCTGTACATCAAACTAAAGTTTTGGGGTGTCGTATATGTGACAAGCGGTGTAACGCCTACACCCCTTTTTTTTAGAGTGTTAAAAAAATGACTGTGGTTATACATCAACTGGAGATTCCAAAGAAACGCTTCATGAGAACGTCGGCTTGATCCTCTAAAGATTATGACTACGAAAAAAGAGGTATTCGAAAGGGCTGGTAGTTACCTTCATTCTTTTTAAGACGATTCCACACTTGCTTTACAGAAATAAAACTATTTATTTGGGAGAAATACTTGTTTCAGGAATCCATCTTTGGCCTGTTTATTTGTCCAACGAACTTTGGTCCTGCTTTTATTAAATGCGATTTGTTTTCGAGCCGTCGGGTAACGACGAAATGCTCCCCAGGCTTTCTTTTGGTCCTTTCAAGTGGCTGCGCACTTCTCTGTCTACCTCGGAAGGCTTCCTAAGGGTTGCGATACGCTACCGAAAAACCCAGCACACGTATAAATTTTCGTCATCTGGATTATCGAACTGGAAATCTATCTGGATTCTTTTGGGATTTCAGGTCTTCATAAATTATTCCTTTGCCTGAATTTCAGCTTTACAGAAACAATAGTGGAAAGTTATACTAGTTTTGCTGGAAGGGCATACTGCACAAAGCAATACCTATGATGCATCCAGTGACTTAATCTGCAGAATCTTTGGGAGATATATAAAAGAAAACAGAGAGGGATTTAGTATAGCTTCTAATTTAAGAGCCAAATCGGCCCTTTTCAAGACTGGAACTGATGGCAGTGGGTCATTGCTTTATAAAAAATAGGAAAATGATTGCTGCCAAAAGGGCCGTTTCAAACCTGCCATGAGAAGCATGGGAGTAAAGATAGAAATTAGAAAGGTCAATAAACGTGAATGTATTACGGGCAGCACAAATAACTGGGCTCTTTCCTACTTAAATTTAAACAAAAAAGTTTGGATGATAATAAAAGCCGTTCAATAACGTCACCCCGAGATTCCCGACGAGCACTACCCCATTAAAGGTGGTGGAGGATTACAATCGCAGAGAATTAGAAAGGGCCCAGGGAGCTGATCTACAAATCCTTGCAGTTTATGAAGCTGCAGTTGAACGTTGGGTAGAAGATACAATGTCCCGTTAATGATGAGGCGATAAAGAAATATACGAAGTGCAACAGCCTCCAGTAGAACGCGGAGAAGAACTACGACACAGGCAACTCCACTGCCACTGCTACGTCACTCGAAGAGTTTTAGGAACCGCAATTCTTCGTAAAAACTATTGACGACGCAAAACCTTGTTGTGTGAGTGATTTAGACGAGTCTTCTGTAAGCAAAGGGCAACAGTGAAAAGCTCGTCAAAAATAAATGAGCGTTATTCATGCGCCACGGCAGTTCCATTGTATGATATTTATCTTTTTACCGCTATTATGTTAAGTTTACAAAATATAGGTTAAAAACGACAAATCGGGCATTTACTATGATTTAAAAGCTATTTTATACGTGGAGCATTTTATTATTTTTGGAAGACTGTTTCTGCTTTCCAGGAGAGGCATCGGGGGCAGAAAGGGGAGTCTCTGATCCTGAGTGGAGTCCCTCCTCGCCCGATCTGGACCCACTCTATCTATGGACTCTTCGGCTGCCGACGTCGGCTGTCTTTGAACCAGCTGACTCCTCCACCCCCCCCCCCCCCCCCCAGCGGGGGGGGGGGGGGGGGGGGGAGGGGTCAGCCGGTTTAAAGACCCCCTGGGAGGCGGTCCTTAAACCAAGCAATAAAGTAAATATAAGCAATGAAGATGGTTACGGCTCCTTGTAACAGATTTTGGGTGCACGTACATTAGAACACTTCGATTGGTCTTAAAGCGGCACTAAAGCGCATTTTATTTGTATTAAATGGGCCAACGAGCCCAGCAACGTACTTTACTATAGTCACTAAGTGAGAACGGCAGGAGGAGCTCCAGTCGTCCTGCCTCCAGCACGAGCTTCCTACCTTCGACCATGCTTCGGTGTCTCGCGCACCTCGAGCGCGCGCATGCAGCCAAAGCACGGCGGAAGGCATGGAGCGCGTGCTGAAGGCAGGACGTTCGAGAGACATGCAAGGCCATTCTTCCTCTAGCGGTTACAATTGAATACAATTAGATTTGTTTACATAACACGCACACGCGCTTGTATACAAAGTGTTCTTTTAGACTTCAAAATATTGTTTCTTTAAAAATGCTGTAAAAGCTATAGGACAGCGGTTTGTGCAGGTGAGTTATACGGCCAGTAGTAGATTATATAGAGGGATTATCGTCACGATGTGTCGGTTAATTAACTAAGGCTTCTTAAATAACTTTTGACTTATTGAATAGTAATATATGGTTCCAATAAGAAACATGCTGAGCTTCCGTGAAAACCACTTGGTAAGTAAATTTTAGAGAGGTCTGAGGAGCGTGGGAAGCGCCGTGGTGCGCTAAAGTGACCACTCGTGCGACGGGCGCATGCTGCTGGTGCGGAACCACAGGTGATAAGAAACAGAGACACCGCGTTTCCGCACAATTAACCTTGTGCTTGTTGCAGGAGCACCGCGCTTTCCACGTGACCATAATCTTTTATAATTCACTTATTTAGTGGTTCTCGGCGACGCTCAGCAAGTTTCTGATTGGGACGATATCTTTATCCTAAAAGAAATAAGACGCCGGTTAACAAATTAAAGACAATTAACATACCTATCGTGACAATTCTCCTCCTATATTATGTCCCGTTGGCGGTAAAACTCAGCTGCACAAACTGCAACTAATCGAATGGCTTTTAAAAAAACAAATTTATAAAGTCTTGAAAAACACCCTGTATATCCAGGCGCGATAACCTCCAGCTTACAAAGGTACGACCACATGTAGTGGAAAGCGCGTATAGGATGAATCAATACCCAATCATCTGAACTGATGGCCAGTTATAAAATTTTAGCAGCATTAAATACACATAGAAAATTTCAAACCAGAATTTTAGTCTTGCTTTTCTACAATTCATCAAGTGCGTTCATTCCGTTTCGATTCATTACAATATCGGCTTTGGGAAATATTCACTAAATGCCTGCTGTGGATTAATCTGCGTAAAGCTATTAAGCTATTGTATTCGTTATGCACCACTGCAAGATAGATCGTTATTATATTTCTTTCCCCACCTTTAGGCACGCTTTTAATCGAACGGAAATGACATTATTTGAGTCTTCGAGCCGTCTCATGAATGAGCGAGTCAACGAACGACGACTTACCTGGCGGACGAGTGCACGGCGTAGACGGTCATTCCGTAGAAGACAAAGTTGAGCAGCAGGAGGACTGCCACGGGTACTGCGAAGAAGGTGAGCGCCGACAGCCTGTTGACGATCCAGCAGACTCCGAAGAGCCCGTAGTAAGGGGACAAGGGTGTGTCGAAGTAGTCCAGTCCCACGCAGGTGCCCACAATGAGAAACGGCACTCCAAAGGCGTACGCCAGGTAGCCCGGCAGGAAGCGGGACACCTTGCGGGCGCCCAGTGCGCCTCCCTTGGTAAAGGTGCGGTACAGGTCGAAGGCCAGCACGTTCATCCAGAAGAAGGAGTTCACCACGCAGTAGTGGCACACGATGGCCGCCGCTCGGCACGCGGCCCCCTGGACCGACTGCCGCTGGCTGAGCAGGAAACTAAGGTGCATCAGGAACAGGGTGCACGTGAGCAGCATGACGTTCCAGCCGGGCAGGTTCCGGAGTTGAGAAAACAGGCCGTATGTGAGAAGCACGAGGGCGAGGGCCACCATGGAGATGACGCTAAGCACAAGGCTGATGAGGGCCATCAGGGGACCGTCGAAAAGCTGGCAGCGGCTGCCGAGTGCGTCGAGGATCTCGTCCAAGCAGAGCCTTACCTTGCCGTGCGGGAGAAACTTGTAGTGTTGGCAGCGGATGGAGAGAGTTCCGCTTGAGAGGACCACGCTGTCGTCTCTGGAGACTTTCACCTGACTCAAATTGAAGTCAAGCCGGGGGCAAGACTCAGGGAGTCCTGTTCCCCGGTCGCACACGACGACGACGCTGTTGATGGTCACCGCCGCCGTCTGGCTGCTTGTGACGCGGAAGAGCACATTGGCGGCGAAATCTCCAGGCTGGTAAGTCCTGCCAGTTCTGTTCACGTACACCTGACTGATGGAGAGCTCGTTGCCGGGTTTCGTCACGAGTGCGAATTCATCGTTCCAGTACTCGCGTATCTTTCCCCCGTCCTCGTCACTGCACCAGTTGTCGATGAATGTAGGTCGGGACTCGACTGTGCTCACTTCTCCCGTCAAGTTGAGTTCTTTGAGCATCAGCGAACTCAGGTTGAAGCTGCTGGCAAACGCCTCAATTACACTGCTGATGGAAGGCTCCACTACGTTCCTCTTTGGCTCGTACAGGTCGAAGTGGGCGATGAGATATGCCGGAATGTACGTGCTGTTTGACTCGCCTGAGTCATTGCTTTCATCGTCTGGATAGTCACCTTCGTTCAGAAGAACCACCTTCTCCGAACCCTCTAGAAGCTTGGGTATCTGACTTGCGTCAGATGTTATGGAAACCTCCACGTTTTTTATTCGCTCTTTAGATACGTTGTACGCTTCGAGCGCGTGTGTAATGGACTGTTTCACATCTTCTTCTCGAAGCTCACTATCGCTTTCAAGGCTAACATTCATCACAACTGTTATGCGGTTGTAGTCCGCCAATTTTTCAGCAGAAACTTCGTCGGACCCCTTTGTGAAATTTTCAATGTTTTCTTTGGGCTTTTCAATGCAGCGCGAATTTACTAACATAAACTCAGTACCACAGTAGATCTGACGGCATAGTTCAGCGAACGGATCCCAGAGGAAATTTTCGGGGCAGCGTTGCTGGTTTCGGAGCATTGCTTCCTTATTCTCGGAAGAGAATTCAAATCGCTGCACGCCGTCTAGACCGAAATTGAGGAGGATTGAAAAGGCGGATGGTATGTCGTCCGTCATCTCTTTATATCTCTGGTGACTTGATTCGAACAAGCTGTACGAATAGTCTCGTTCACTGTACACCGTTACGTCTCCCGAACAGTGTAAATCAGGAATGTCACCGTTACAAATGGCGCAGTAGGCATTCTTGTACAACTTTCGTTTTCGATTGGGCCTGCGGATGGATCTCACCGGACCCTGATAAAGGGCGCACAGGGTGTTCAAGTCCCGGGCCCTGAAGGCCATACTGCCCATCTTGCAAGTGTCTACAGCCACGACGCACGCTCTGACAAACGGCGTCGCCTGTTCACCGCCATCGTCCGCTAAGTTTTCCAACAGAGCTAAAGGCACGGCATCTACGGCACCGTTGCATCTGGCGCAGCTCATGTTGGAGTACACGATGCCGTCTTTGCCCAACACTTTGCCCAAATGATCCCTCTCATCGCCAATCGAGTCAAGTTGGTCCCGGCAGTCGGACACATAGCGAAATGACTGGTGCGGTAACGATTCGTGATCGTACAGGCACGGATGCCTCGTTAGGTTTTTTTCGCCAGTTCTGTTCAGAACACAGTACTGATGGATGTCAACGCAGCAATCCCCGTACCTTAAGCACAGCTGGTCGCAGTGGCACGTAAAGTCGTCACTCTTCCGGCTCTCATTACATCGTCCTCTGCAGGAGTCAGTTGCTACACATCTCGGCGGAAATTTCCAGTTGCCTGGTTCATCATTCTGGTTTAACACTCCAATCTCATTTCTTGTTGCTTCTATTGGCGCTCTGAACAGTTCCTTCACTGTTGGGAAAGGGACGCTAGCCTTGATCGCCACAGGAAAGGAGACGAGTGATGTTACGAAGATCAAAAGCAGGCCCGTAAAAGGGCTTGTCACGAATTCTAGCATATCTGTTATAACAACGAGTTTTAAATGGTTACCCTTTTGCATCGTCAGACCGAAGATCGAGATCGCCGAAGAGTTCACGCGATCCTCGTGGCACTTCAGCTAATAGTTGACACGAGCAGAATAGAAAGTAGAGTATAAAACAAATTCACCTTAGGGAGGCTCGTTGTTGGCGGCACGCATCTTCAAGGCAGCATAACACCGCATAGAAACACGAGTTTTAAACGTTCAGCAAAGGCAAAGGTTCACCGACATGTACGATCGATTGGAGCTTCCAATCGGAGGCAGCTGGACCTGGGGAACTGCCTGGTCCCGTTATCTGCCTGTATTGGCCGTGGGGCAATGCCGACGGCTGTTTTTTGCTTACGGCTCCTGTGGAAACTCGGCAGAGCGGCCTTATCAGCGGCGGCCAGGTGTTCGATACGGTGTGGCGGCGTTAATGCTCCCACTCAGGACGCTGTGGTACGACACGACGTGTGAAGACTTCGCGCATGCGTCCAGGGTGTTCTGGGACAACTTCACTCTCTCTCTTCACTCTTCTGGACTGATTTGGAGTAACCTGCGAATGGCAACAAAAAATACACTATCAGCACAAATAATTCGTTTATAAATCACACACCAAGAAATTCTAGAAACCTATAACCAATAAAGAAGCTCTGTCATTATCCTTCCTTCCTCTGAGATGTTTTAAAGCGCACAAGCACAAATAGCCCTTTCCGACATTCAGTGCCATCTGGTGGTTTGTAAAGCAGTTTAGGTTTTGCCATATCAATGGCGGAAATGAACTTGTATCGGCACCGTCACTTTCGCAAGTCAACGGCACGCGAGGAATTGTTCAGTGTGAGTTCTTTCTCGATCACTTTCAGTTCGATGGTGACCAAGAACCTGCAAAGCTCCAACCCACTCAGAGGCCTCGAGAAAATTCTATACACCAAAGTGCTTTAAAGCCGATTGTGTGCCGCTTACAGATGGACTTAATCTGAGTTATTAGAAATAAACACTTACGTAGCTCTTGTGTTCCATTCCTACGTCGCGTCGTACTGACCCCCCGAACGTACAGGCCTCGCAAGATCCCCTATAGGAGCATATTCAACGTCTCCCTTTATCAGTCACTAGAAGGCCGTCATTGGTATGGCACAGATGCCGTTTCACAGATGATGATAGTGATCAAAGTGGCCAGAAGGAATTTCGGAAATGGTCTAATAGACCCTTTCCGAAATTCCGACTTTAAGTACTATAAGTACGCTAGATTGATATCGAAACTTTTAGTTTTAAGGGCATTACGCTCTTTTGTGAATTCCTGCTGCGCACATTATTGATTCCAAAGCAGAACTTAGGCAAACCACCCAGTGCTCGAATCACTAACCTGTTTTCCCGCATGATAATTTTTTTTTATAGTTCTTGGCTGTTTATCGATGGTGTTACTGCTAAAAAACAGCGAGGCCCAAAGTGATTAGGAAGACTATCTCGGCCAAGAAAACTACCGGCTAAACCATGTGCCATGAAACACACATCGGTGCGTAGCCAGAAATATGGTAGCAATTTCTTTGTATAGATAAGTAGTTAAAGATAAATGAACATTTTACCTACACATACAAAACACTACCCTATAGCTTTCATTTACAGCTATGCACCAATATGTGTTTCATGGCATAGGTTTAGCCGGTAGTTTTCTTGGCATCCGTATTTAACGCAAAATTGCTCTGCTGATGCAAGCAAGTTCCACGCTAAGGACATTATTTTTTATATAGCCACTTACTTTAAAATATTTAGGTATACGATGTAATCTATCTCGAAATCGAGGCCTGAAATCAAAATAAATTATGGTGACGAACCGTGTTATACATGTATGTCTTGTTCACGCAGTTTCACACTCAATGATCAATATGTCGCGTGCACTGCCATACGACAACGACTCCCGTGATAAATTACCTGATTGTTGCTCAATTAGTTTTAATTTATTGTTATGCTTTTATTCTTGTCGCATGATACTTTAGCGATTATACTAATAGTCAAAACTACTTTCGTGCCGGGGATAAATATCAAGTCTGGTTCGATTCATCTGTGATTAGAAGCAACCTAGGTGAACCGAAGGGCTTCATTTTTGGCCTAGAGTACTCTTTCGGCTTACTCCTGGAATGTGGAGCAAGATATCGACCCTCTCATCCTCCGTCTCGCATGGGCGCTTGGAATCACGCGATCCGGCCGCCATTAGGTTGCTTCAGCTCGTCGCTCCACTCTCCCCTACGTGTCTTGGCGGATGCGTCCTATTAGCATTTTTCGTCAAATTTCACCGCGTTTTTCGCCTTGCTTCGTAAAGGGTCGTTGAAGACTTATATTTACTACCGAAATTGCAGTAGATCATTATGCGCAGGACTTATGCAGTCTATTTTACAGCACGTTTTGACCATTTAAAGCGTCGGCGTACAGGATACGTGTGATTAGACTACACGAGGCACAGGAATTGACATGAATCAGTGTTAGCCCTGACGCACAAAGAGTATATAAGCGACTTTAGGACGGCACGAGGGTTTGAGGGTTAATTACCTTTGCCAACCCAGATTTGCTTACTAATAGCAGCAGAACATTCGCTTTTGATTATATAGGGGAACTCGTGGAGAAAATTTAGGACAAAAAACGTTTAACTTGCATTTTATCTAATGCGTGGAATATTGGTACATCAACATCAGGCAATTTTTGCGTTTATAATATGACACCTACGTGTGTTTGAAATTGTGAATATTGTTTTACGATATAGACAATATATGGCAATCCATGCAAGTTGTGCTGTTATGAACTGTGTGGGGTAGAGGCCCAGTCAGGCAGAAATGCCTTTTGCCTCTACCTCCCTACCGGGCCTGGCCCGTGAGCAACAAAATAAACTTCAAACATTCGCTTGATCAGCTTACTTATGAAGTAAAGAATACAAAAATACTGTATACTTTGCTCGATCCCGTGTCTACGGCCTTTTAAGTGATTTAATGCTTTAAGATAACCAGTTCAATTATTTTGTTCAACTCAAAGTTTGGGACTTCTCGCATAGGAAACTATCGCAAACAGCTTGAAAGTGCCTGAAGCCCGCATTATGTGACGCCGAAAATAAGTTCTGCCTGCATGAGAATTGCCCGCGTTGGAGCGTTGTTGTTGGCGAGTAAAGATTTTCTTTCGGTGACTGGCAACGCCAAAATCTACATAGTGCATCTGTTAAAACAAATAAAAATGTGTACACGGGTTCATAAAACGGCGCCTGGCGTTCGACTTCAGCCGAACTTGCCAAGGTCACGTCTCTTACGCCATTTAATTTTATTTCGCAAGTTTCACGGCAGAGAAATATCAGGCCCCATTTGACGGGATTGTTACTTATCTCATATCTTAAGGGGGATTCAACCGCGATTTATTTGTAGTATTTTCCTCATAGATGGAGCAGAATGTTTCCGGAACAAACGAGTTGCACGCTCTCCGCTGCGCATGCAGGTCGGCAGGCCCAAGGCGCAGAGCAGGCGCAACTGCCGATGGTCATGATTCAAAAGTGTGACTTCCTCAGCATTGGTTTCAGTGTTTGGCAATGCAAAATAGCCTTGTTCTGTCGCGAACAGTTTAAACATTTCTAAAAAACAAAAAAGTGTTTGATTTTTTTTTTTTTTTTTTTTTTGTGAGTGATTTTAGATAAGCTCCTGGTAACTGGCAACCATGATTTCAAGCCACAAGATGGGCAAGTGCCGTTCTGCTTTTTTTTGTAATTATTATTTTTTATTTCACGTTTATTGCTCGAGTACAACGTGCGTGAGCGTGCTAAGGAGGACATTTATGAAGAAGTGAAGAGGCCGCCTGTACAGCTTTGAGCGACGCTAAAAGCTGCGCGACTGCACGGGCGTCTGTAGCATTGGCGCCATATTCAGGGAAATTTTGGCTACATTTGTGCCAAGTGAATGATGCACGGCATGCGCCGTATACCTGGCAGGTACGAAGCGACGGCGCAGTGCAGATGAGATTCCAAGTCTCTCCGAGTAATCACTTGGGTGAAGCTACTTTCAGGAAGTCTTTTATGGTTGGCGACAAAGGAATTGAATGGTAGACGGCGCTCTTTAGCTTCGGCCAGCCATACCGATATTCATGCATCATTCTTCACGGGGTACGTAAAGCAAATAAAGCGGACGGCACGAAAAAGTTGAGAACGTCCGGGTATGAGGTCTCTTTAGGCTGGCTATCCTTCAAGCCAATGCCTTTTCCATGGGACAAGGAAACTAGGAAAATGACGAGCCACGTGGCGTATGCGGGTCTGCGCGCGAAAATTAGGGTGACCGGGGGGGGGGGGGGGGGTGTAAAGGCCGGAATATTTTGGGGTGGCAGGACAAATTTTAGGGGAGGCGCCCGCCACCCCTCGCCTCCCTTTGGCGCCGTCCCTGCTAGCGCCGCTAGTTTCGCCGTACCATGGTAGGGAGGCTCTAGTGAGGGTGGGCGGCGGCGCAACTCAAAACCTGGAGAGTGTTTGCAATTTAATGGCGGCGCCTGAGGGAGAGGATGTGAGAAAAAATATGCCCCAATGTTGCCTGCACGAGAGCAGGCGCCCGCTCTGTTGCAACTCTGTCGCTCCATGCGCCTTTCCTCCCCTCGCCTCCCATTGCAAGCAACGAACGCCTTGGCGCAGCCTCTCTCGCTTCCTTCTCGCTCCGAGAATTGCAAACTTCGAGAGGAGAAAGCAGGGTTGCCAGACAAGCAGCAACTTCCAAGATGGCGGAATTTACCATTTTTCGCGTTAAAAAAATACTTAACCTACCGCAACAAAACTGTTGGCTATGGAAAAGTAATCATTTATACCTTGTGTAAATTATTCAAGCACGTTAATGGGCCTCTATAACCTGCTGAGTTAGGAAAAAAAAAACGACCCTTTGCCCCATAGACTCCCAGCAAAATTTAGCAATTAAATGGCGTCCATGTCCCGTGATCCCCGATCTACGAGTTGCACCCACTCTCACTTGAGCCTCCCTATACCATGGTGGAAGCTACGGCTGCACCCGGCTGATTAAATCGCTAGCCACCAGATGGCGGGGTCAAGCAGAGTAATTGCAAGTAGCTAGGCTAGGTGGCGCATTTCATTTTTCATGTTCTACAAAATATAATTTGATTTCCTCAGGCCACTATTGCGCTTGGGGATCCTCTATTATACACACATTACGCTTAATAGAAGCATCAGGTGAACTAGGGTGCCTTCATGTGCGCTTTGCTTAGGGTGGAAACATCTGGCCATCTTGTTTCCAGTTTACATTTATTTTTGGTCCAGAAGCGCATGAAAGAGCGTGTCCCCGCACGCGTCTGTGGCGCTGACTGTGCTATGGCGACATTTTGTTTTCGTCGATCTCTTTGTATTTTCCCCGTGAGCGCGTGCTGTCGGCATCGGGTACTACATAGGGTGGCATCACTCTAAACAGGTCATTGAGACACCCTAAGGTGAACATACATTGAGCACATACACGGCACACACAAATATCAATGCTACGGAACACCACACTAACCCGAACACTACACCCGTGCTCTTCGTTTCCGTCTTTTATACTGGTC